GCATGATCCAGGATACCCATGGATCAACTTTTCAAAAGCTGCTCCCAAGACAGCACTACATTTTAAAAATAAAATTATTTCCCCTTCCATTATGTTGCCTGTTTTGTAAAGGAAGAAAAAGTATTCTAAGCAACATAGCTCGGTTGATTGCTCTTCAGGTTGGGTAGAAGTATGGTTTCATATCCATCTTTATTCTTTCCCATTTTCAAGGGCACAAATGTTAAGCTCAGCTCTATATTTAAATTGTTTTAGGATTGAACAGGGCAAGATAGTATAAGTAAATGCAATACATTGTAGATAATCATAGCTAAAATCTGTATTATTTGTTAAATGCAGATAATTTGAACATTAAAAAATGTGTGACTTAATTACTATACTTTGATTTAAGGAGGGAACTGAGGCTGAGAAAGTTCTCTGTGGTCCTACAATTAGTATCAAACTGAGCAGTTCTTCATTCCAAATTCAGTGCTCTACTTTTCCACTTTCTATCAGTCTGGTTTATATCACCTTTGTGCCACATAACCCTCAACTGATTACACACATCCCCCCCCAAAAATGGGAGGCAAACTTTTTATGAGCTGTTTTTCCCTGAAAAATTGGGCCTCCCCTTCTTTTACATCATTTCTGGCACAGATTCAAGAAGAATCTTTCTCTTCTTCTCAAGCTAGCTTCAAGTCAAATGTGAATCCAAACGAACCAAAAAATTGCCATATGACTGCTCCACTTGAGTTCATCAACCCAGAAAAAAGCTGCACATATTTGAATGGTACAACATTAAAGCCTCTGTGACAGTGGAATGGAGCCTATGAATACTCCCAGGAGACCTGACAAAATATATGCTTACATGCTCCACATTTCTTCTCTCTAGTCACATTCAATTTTCAGGTATATGACAGAGGTTAAACACAGGCATTGATGTTATTTGCAGAAGACCAGTGACTGCATTTGCAAAAGGAAGCTCCCCTTATATGTAAACAACTTCTGGAAGTCCCACCTTATTTTTGCACCAGCCGGCTCCCATGCAGGATTTCTGCTGAGAGAGAGAATTAAGTTCAGTTAAAGCATGAAAAATCATGAGATTTCATGAGTCAAAAATTTCCAGGGGATGAAGGAGTACTGTAAACATAGAGTAGCAGAATGTAGGAACCTTATAGATCATCCAGGCTAACCCATGTCAGAAACACTAATACCCTTTATGTCATCCCTAACAAGTGGTAATGCTGCTTTGGCTTAGAGACTTCCAGTGGCAAGGACCTTAGTAGCTTTCAAGCAATCCATTATTTTCCTAGATAGCTCCAACTTTGGGTCTCTGAACTTAAAGAAAAAAAAATTAGTAACTATTTTCTAATGTAATAGTCTTCCTTTGAAATGTTTTACTTTGCATTTTATTTTATGCATTTAGAAACATTATTTTTAGAGGTGGTCTATAGGCTTCCCCATGCTGCCAAAGAGATACATGACATAGAAAAAGGTTAAGAATCTCTGCTAATTGTTAGAAAATTTTTCCTTATTTTGAACTGAAATGTGTTTTTATGATACTTCCCACCTTTGGTCCTTTCTGACCTTTAGGGCTAGATCAACGTTTCTTTCATAGATCATTCATGTAAGTATCCTGCAAGGGAAAGTATGTTGGATTTAGAAGGAGACAACCTGAGTGGAAACCCTGTGTCTCCCACTTATCAGAACTTATTCTCTAGTCCTCAATTCTCTCACCTACAAAATGAAGAGATTGGACTAAAAGATTCCAAAAGTCACTTCCAGTCCTCTAATATTCTAGGATTCAATGAAATAAGAAAAAATAATCATCGACATTTCTATAGTATACTAAAGTTTGCAAAGTACTTCATGCTTATTATTTCTGTTGATCCACAGAACAACTCTGTGAGATAGATGCCATTATTATCCCAATTATCCCCATTCTAAAGCTAAGGAAACTGAGGCTAATGAAGTTAAGTGATTTGCTGACTGTCACATAAATGTCTGAGGCAGGTGTCAAACTCAGGTCGTCTTGGCTCCAAGTCCAAATCTATCCACTATACTACCTAGCTGACCTGAAAATGACAAGAATTAATAAATGCTTACATATATGAAAGCACTTTATTAACTGTAAGGCACTTTAAACATGTAGATATTGTGTTACTTAAACTATCATTGGATTATTCTGCTTGAGGAGAGAATTACAGGGTATGGGGAGGTGACAGATATTTTTGTCCATAAATAGTTTACAGTCTTCTCGATGCGAAAAAGGGGAAATCAAACTGAATATACTCTTACTATGCAAATTCAAGACAAATAATTTATGTAAAACACATGACAAAAGAAAAATATTCTTTTCCTTTATTACCTTTCTCACTATACTCTTTTCCTATATTATTAAGAATACACTATGTTAAGAAAATCAATGAAATTAAAAAATGAAGTTTCCCTCATTGCTTCCCATATTAGTATGACTTTTTTAATATAATATGTCTTGATTATTAGTGTCTTTATTTACAAACTGCATCTTAAAAGCTTGGAAGAGTTATATTTTTCAGTGACAGAACTAAAAGAGACCAGGAAAGAAAAAGTCACTAGGTTTGGTAGAGGAAGAAAAAATATATTCCATAGAGATTTGAAATGAGATGGAGAGTTAGTGAGGTGAAGAGATTCAGGAAAGCCATTCTGTTATAGATAACAGGAGGAGATGCAGAGCAAAGGTATCTCTAAGCCACATTGGCAAGATTATGTTGAAGGACAAGAACCAATAATATCTGCACCAAAAGGAGGAAGGAAAAAGGGGATAAATTCAAGTGTAAAAACTCCATTTTCTGTGAATATGGTGTTTCAAATGGATTCAGGTGAAAATGTGTCCAATTCTGGAATGAAAGAGATTTTTCAAGTAGAAATATAATTTTCTGTAAGTGATCTGGGGAAATGACTTTTGGTTTTAGGGAGGAAAAAATCAATAAATACAAGTTAGTTTGCTTATACATTGATCCTATGATGTAATGTTGTTTGTTTTAAATAAAATTTTGAAAATGAAAATTCACCACAATCTCATGTCATAAAGCCATAGTTTTAGAGCTAAAAAGGTCCTTAGAGAGAATCATTTTACAGATGAAGAAACTAAGGTCTGGAAAGTTTGTTTCATTCCTCAGAATTAGGAAGTCTCTGAGGTGGAATTCAAATGGATTCGAATTATCAAGCACTCTTTTTTCCTCTCACCTCTGAGAGAGAGAGAGAGAGAGAGAGAGAAGAGAGAGAGAGAGAGAAAGAGTACAGATGAGGAAAGTGAAGCATATAGAAGTCAAGTGACTTGCCCAAGTTGTATCACAGGTGAGCTTTGAACCAAGGTTCTTTGCCACAAATCGGTGATCTTTACACTTTACTATACTAACCATTGCATTCCATTTAATTTGTTAACTACCCTATACAAGGTGTCCCATAGAGTCATAGCAAGGACCTGTATTCTATGTATAACTTTCTTTTCCTTTCCATGCTTATTTACTTAGATTTTTTTTGTACCCTCCCATAGAATCTCTTGGTGAATTTACCAGGGAAAATCTAACTTGCTTCTCTATATGCAGAAGAGGGAAATGGGAGTTATTCTTTCCACATTCCAAACCATGGAAGAATAAGAGAGGACCACTCAGGCTGTAATACCAGCTACCAGTGAGAAAAGGGGGTTGCTCTATCACTCATACAGACACATACAACTTTGTCCTACACAAAAGTAAATAATCTTTCTTGGGGGATTTGTTAATGTACCTCAAGAATTAAAAGAGACTTTTTTGATGATGATGATGATGATGATGATGATGATGATGATGATGATGATGATAAAATGTCACCATAGCACCTAAAATGAATATATTCCTCTACCGAGTCATTTATAATTATCTAAGATACAAAATTATGTAAAGTTGAGTAATTAAATACAAGAACTTCGATCCTATGGTGGATCTTTTTATATGTCAGACCCTTAACATTATTTCCATGTGTAATAACATTATATATTTATAGCTGCATCCACCTAGTTTTACAGCTCATTAACACAGTGGAAGAGGAGATTTGCACAGTTATTACTTATTGCACTTATTCGCCTGGTCATGGAAGTGGACATATATATCCCAGAAATAAATACCATACTGTTCCAATCCCTTCAGAATCAGTCATCCATTGTACATGCTGATAAATGTCTTTTTGCCTCACTGAGTGAATTTGCATTGTCTAGACTTGGGGTGAACAGAGGACAAATGAGCAGGCACGGAAAAGCTATTCACTGGGGAGATAAAATAAGCATAGAGGATAAAGCAAATCCCTAAACACTTGCAGCAGTTGTCAGACTTTTTGGTCTCAGCATCCCTTTACATCCTCAAAAATTATAGAGGATCCTCCCCCCCCTCCCAAAAAAAAGAGATTTTGTTATGTGTTATAGTTATCAATATTTAATGTTGTTAGAAATTAAAATGTCTTAGTAGTATAGTGACAATAGTTTTGACCTTATGGACCCTCTGAAAAGGACTTACAGACCCCCAACAGTAGTGCCTGGATAGCAGTTTGAGAACGACTGATCTAAAGAACTGTGCAAAGAAGAAAAGCAGAGATTTTTTTTTCAGTGAATAGGGGAAGGAGGGGCATATTCCTAGTGCAAAAGTTAATCCTGATATTCAGTGGTTGAGAAATGCTGATAAAGATCATGCCCATAGGCTCCACAGAAAAGTTAATGCTGCTACTCTTTGCTATATATGACTCAGATTGTTTTCAGAGAAGGGATGCCTGGGATTTGAACTTAACATGGAAAGGGTGAGCCAAATGTTAATCATCTGGTGTCTGCCTTTGCTTACACAAGCTGCCCTTCTACCGATGGGAATCCCTGAGAAAATTAAGGAAAACTGCCTTGTGGGTGTAGCTTCAAAGGCCCGGGATGGACAGTATACTATATTTCTTTTCCCAACGGTGTCTAAATTTATCTCCATTGTTTCTTTTTTTTCTCTCTCCGTCCTAAAATGGGACTCCAGCCCAGCAAGGAACAACAATATCTTGACAGAGAACTCTTTGCAACTAAGACAGGGTCATCTACATTGTCTGAACTCCATGTGCATCAGAGATTACACCCAGAGAAAACAAAAGAACTACGCAACAGAAGCAGCCCAAGCCAAGTAAACAAGAGAAAACGTGACTTGCTGTAACAAGCATTTTCCTGCCCTGGTTGAAACAGATGGACAATAAAAGATCCAGCCTGTCTTCAGCCTCCCCCTATGAGAAAATAGAATCCAATGAGCTGAGGTTTCCTGGGGCACAAACTACTCCCAGAGAGTAAGTTAAGCACTTGCAGAAACTACAGGAACTGAAATTTAATAAACACAGTCTCGTTGTACTGAAGGATCCCCCAGCGGCCTTGGAGCATTAAGGGGGCTTGCAATCGCACTTGTTCAGTTGTGACTTGAAGAATGACTCACCCTATGATCGGACCCAGTGTTGCCCAATATCCTTCATTTAATTGAAACGCTAGACTTCCCAAATAAACGGGGAACCTGCTTCAAAGGCCCAGATGGTCCATTGCTGTTGTCTCCTCACGAAGACGACTTTTCAGGTTCGTGTCAACTCAGTAGCGGACTGAGAGAGAATTTATCCCCGTCAGCACCTTTGCAAACATTTCTGTGTGTTATTGCATTTTTCAAAGACCCATTATATGATATGGAATTCCTAAAATCAAAGATATTCTGTGCCTTTCACAAAAGAGAGAGCCAGCTAAAGTATATGCATTCTTTATTTACTTTGGAGATTTTTTTTTCCTCTCCATTTGTGTACCCTCCATATAATCCCTTGGCAAATCCACCATGCAAAACAGAAAAGGATAATAAGAACCTCCCCCTTGCTAACCTGCTTCAATCAGCATGGCCCTTGCTCCATTTTTGGATACAATATAGCCATTTACTCCTGGGGGCTGGATCACCATCAAAGCCTTTGGAGGGGTTAAAAACTGGGTCAATACCACCATGGGAGAATGGGACCACCAATTGGAGCTTTCAGTCACATCTGATTTGGCTGTACTAATAAGACACCAGCCCTAAAGAACTGTGGACTTTTTGTTGCTGCCCAAATATACTGACCTGCCTCCCCTTTGTTCTCTGATAGGGCCATCCTCCTGAGCAAATCCCATACTGGCAAGCTGAGCGTGACAAGATTATCTTAAACTGATCAGCTGAAAGGAAAGAAAACATTAAAAAAAACCTTTTCCTCTTCCTGGTGAAATTGTTAATCATTTTGCTGTTCTTTTTGCTCTTGAGTACTGTCCTTTCACTTAATATATTGTGCAATATAATTCATGAACTCAAACAATGAACTTCACAACCAGAATATGGGAGAATTGGAGGAAGAATGAATGTATGCACAGGAGGTCCTGGTAAGTGAGAGAACAAAGCTACCGAGATACACTTTCTCGTGGCATGATTGTGGGTCATTTCAAAATCACAAAATCGAAGCCTCAATCTTAATGCCATTAACCATGTTATTCTGCAATCACAGCAATTTAGGGGGGAGGAAGGGAGAAGGGAAAGGTTAGTCACAATGGCCCTAGGTAATATTACATCCACTTTTATGCCAGAGACAATGTTATTTCACTGTGAGTTTCACAAAGGTATGTTGAGCCTGTCAAGGCGAGATATTTGGAAACCAATTTGCAGCAACTTGACAAGTGGACTGTCTTTGGGACCCAAAGAGGTACAGCAGGCTAACTAACGTGAGTCAATCAGACAGAAGTCAGGCAAAAGATATGCTTCAAGAACTCTGGGAAGTACATTCCAAAGTCATTCAACATGGGTGTTGAATGCTCACAGATGACAGCAGGAAGCAGAGTCTGCTGATGTGCCACAATCAGAATGACATGGATCGGGACAAGCTCGGATGACATCAGAACCATTGCTTGAAGAGTCCCGACATGCTTGCAGGCAGCATCCTAAATCCATGTGGGAAGGATTTACCTCTTGTGCATGAAGAGCTGAATTTGGAATCACAGGACTGGGGTTTGAAAGCGTACTTCTATTGCTAACTCACATCATGACCTTGGGAAAATCACTTGACTTCTCTCAGGCTCAATTTCTTTACCTGAAAAATGAGGAGCCTAGACAAGAAAATTTCTAAGATCCCTTCAGGCTCCAAAATTCTAGGATCCCTCTGTAGGCTTATTAGCTGTTCTATTTAGATCTGCTTATATTCAATAAACTATCCCCCATACAATGAAGTATAGCAATGTGCCTTTCTTGCACATATTTGGCATAGTAGTCGAATGAATCGATGACTATGATTTTTTAATTGATTAAAAGTGTAGCTATGTCAATTAAATAAACTGAATTTTCAAGTTATGCATGCAAACTCATAGGTACATACTAAACTTCATTCCAACAGTAGCTTGGTTAAGAGTCCCATCAGTACATATCAGTAAAATGCACACATTTTCAGAGATGATGAAATGGCAAAAACAAGAACTAAGTCTAGCCATAGCTGGAAATTCTGGCGTCTGGGTCAAATTTATTGAGAGGAGGGGAAGAGGACGCCAGAGGATGGTGAATGCTACCATCACTCCTGATCCTGGATGTTCTGAATGGCGTGGTTCCCCAGGCTAATGGGCAAGTAAAGAGTTTGCCATGGTTGGGTACAGTCATACTAGCATGTTGGGTAAGGTAGGTTCTGGGATGGGGATAGGAACAGAATCCAGAATGAGATAACAGGGGAAGAACTCTTTCTCCCAGCATGGGAACTCTACACCTCACTTTCTTTCACCAGACCAATACCACACTGTGAATCACTCTTCGAAAGAATCATTTTGCCCAGCTAGATTTCAGCACCCTCGAAAAAAGCGCCAGAGTCCCACCTAGTTTCAGTTCTTCCCTGCTCACTTCTACCATTGTCATCATAAAAGTGGGACTCTACGTTTCTAAATCATTGGTGCAGAGTCAGTAAAGTCTATGTCCTTCTCAGTATATTGGAGTGATGTTTTCCCTCTGACTTGGCACCTATTTCTTCTAAAAATATATCCGGCTGCGAATCAAGCAAGGAAGTGGAAAGCAGTCTTTCTGAGATGGGAGCTGTGAGGAAATGGGATGTATTTTTTTTCTGAATTTGATCATTAAGAGTTTTCCTGAAATTGTTGTTTCCTGCCTTGGCCTGTTCAGCTGGTAATAATGTCCCATCAAGGATAGCTAAAGGACACTAACATGTTTCAGTGGATTAGATTCAGGCAAGATGCTTTAGCAATGGGTAGTTGTCCCTCCTCTGTCACCACCCCCCCACCCCCTGCCAAATCTCTTCCTTCAATAGTGGAGTCAGTGGTGAGATTTAAATCAGCCAGTTATGTATTTCTGTATTCCTTCCCACATTTCCTAGTGTCATTTCCCACTATGGCTGGTAACAAAAAGGATTGGGCAACATCTTTGCAGAACTATTGGCTGGACTTTGCAGAACTCTTGGTTGGATTGTCAGTTTAGATTAAAACATCTGCAACCTGATTTTATTTAGCTGTGGCCTAATCCATTTTAGAACCATGATATGCTTGCATGTTTAATAGACTTTGAAGATATAGGAGGCATATAACTCTCTTGAGTAGGATGGGTAGGTACCATACACCACTCTGCTGAATTTTATTTTGTGTTCCTTTAACAGAAAGCTCCTTGAAGCAAAATGGAACATCCCGATGGGTAGGAGATATAAACTTGTCATCATGTTAACACATATTTGCCACTGAAAAAAAAACTCTCTACATTTTTTTTTGTTTTCCCCAGTTTAATAGATGGATAAAAGGAGAAGGCTGAGCCACCTCCAGTTGTCCTGATCTATACCTGGCCACTGGCCCCAGGTGACTCTAGAGGAGAAAGCAAGGCTGGTGACTTTGCACAGCCCTCCCTCACTTAAATCCAATGCACTTGCAAGTCATGGCATCACCTTCCTAATGTCATAGTCCTCTTCAAGAATGAAAAACAAACCACAACCTGTAAGTAGTCTAAGCTGCCCCACAGGGAGCCAACTGACCAGTTCCAGTTGGGCAACTCCTCTCCTCTCTCCACATAGGATACCATGCCCTTACCTGAGGGTGCTCTGCCCAAAGGAAGATAAATTTGGATGGCTGAAAACTAAGTGATATCTTGGGGTTTCGTGGCTAGATTTCTTTCTTAAAGACCACTGCCTTAAACCTTCCTAAATCACTAGTGCTGTCATTGATTATCCAACAATACATCCTGTCTAAGCACCACTTAATGGTTATTTTGGGGGGCCTAGACAGCTCAGAGTGAATGTAAATAGTAATTGTTTCTCTTTTGGCCAGAAACTCTGAGGGTCTGCCCCTCCCAGTTTTTTTCTTTTGTTTTGTTTATTTGTTTGTTTTGGTTTTTGGTTTTGTTTCATTTTTTTTTTTATTAAAGGGGCCATCCCTTGACTCACTTCTTGAACATCCTATTTACTGAATGGGCATTGCCTCAATAAAAGTGAGAACTTGGAAAAACCTTAGCTTAAAAAGGCCAAGGTCTCCCACTGCATCCTGGGCCATCTCCAGTTGTCCTGATCTATATCTGGCCACTGGACCCAAATGGTTCTGGAGGACAAAGTGAGGCTGGTGACTTTGCACAACCCTGCCTCACTTAAATCCAATTCACTTGCAAGTCACGGCATCATCTTCCTGATGTCATGATCTTCTTCAAGAACAAAGGACAAACCACAACCACACCAAAGGAGAAGGCATTCTTACCACTTCTATAAAGTACGGCTGGTGGGTGGGAGAAACTGTAGGAAACAGGACAATAACAACTTGAAGTAATGAAGTTCACATGCAGATTGGTAAGAACCAATAGAAGCCGTGTGACTTACTTCACAGCGTCAGAGAAGGCTTGGTTGTTGCTGGGAAGATGCCGTGCAGTGTTACAGAAACAGAGATGTGGTCAAATTCTACCTGGAAAAGAGTGCTACACTTGCAATCAAGAACACTCGGCTTCTAATCCCACCTCAGACACTAGCTATGTGACACTGGTTAAGGCCCTTAACCACTCTAGGTCTGTACAATGAGGGTGCTGGACTCATTGACTTCCAAAGTCCTTTTGAACTCTAAACTATGATATGTTTACAAAACAATACAAATTAAAACCCCCACATGGAACTACACTAGTTTCTACACTGCTCATCCCTAAGCTTCACCCATCCCTACTGGTCTTCATGAGAAGATTTTAAAAGGCCGTGATCTCCATCCTGTAGGACATAAGGTGAGGATACAAAAAAGCAAACATCAAGGACTTTTTCTTATCAGAGTGATAAACATTAAACAGCAAAGGGTTTTACGCACCTACTACTTTAAATATTTATTTTAAGCAGCCTTAGCAAGGTGCTAAGGGTAGGATATAGGCACTAAACTTGTTATTTCTTTGGTATGGGAAACTGGCAAGTAAAGAAATTGCCCCTACCAGGGTAGGTTGATACCTTCTTAGAGTCTTACTGAGAAGTTGTCCTTGCCTAGGGTCTCCCGGTCATTTCGTGTCAGAGATGAGACTTGAAACCAATTCTTCCTGGCTTTGAGGCTAGCTCACTATTCAATTGCACCATGGTGTCTCTTATGTTGGTGATAAAAGATGGAAGACCTGAACCTGGAACAATTTACTAACTAACTTTACTAATCTGAACCTGGAACACCTTACTTAGGAGTCACTGTTCTTTAATCTGTTACTGTGATTGCATGCCTATTTGGGAGGAGGAGACCAATATTCTTAAGGAAATTAAGAGAACAAAACATGACGATTTTCAGGCAAGTTCTAACAGTGTGGTATAGCCCACAGTGAATGGGACTTTGTTCCACTTGCCCCTGTGAGGATGGGGAAATTCACTCTTTTCATGGGATAGCATCCTTTTTTGCTTCCTCCTTAAAGTGATCACCATCCTGTACCTTGCTTCAGGGTCTTTTAGAGACATAGGGCTCTTTGGAGGATAGGTCACTGTCTTGGGCATCACTGAGATTTTAATCTACTGTGGGACTGTTCTCTGAGCAGCCATGTTCCTCTCTTCTGTGTAGCCATGCCCTGTCTTCCCTGACCTTCAAGGACTATCCTCTGTAAACACATCCACTCCCTTCCTTATACCCTGCTAAGCCTCCCAGATGAAATTGCCCCAGATACAGTCTGCTGGTTATGACTCAATTATAGTAGGTATAGCAATGAAAAAAGAAGGAAGACATCACGGGAAGTGGAAGAAACCTAGAAAAGCTTCTGGAAGGAGATGAAATTTTAGGCTTGTTATCTACCTTTCCCTTTTTACACTTGTTTACAGGAAAGGCACTGTCATTTTACAGCTAAGGAAAATTACACTAGCTTAATGGCTTGCCCACAAAAGGCACTCAATAATTGTTTAATAAATTAATGACTATACAGCTCTTTTAAAATGATTTAAAGTGTTCATGCTACAACGTTTTCAAAATAGCCCTCAGAATTTGCCTTGGTTTTATAAGTTATAAACATGAAACAATTAGCAGATGTTAAACTGTTCTGCATCTTGAAGTATGGATAAGATTTGGATCAGTAAATAGGAAAGGAGAGGGCCAGAGAGTGGGAAGATCGTGAACTTAAATTAGAAATTACATGAAGACTGTAAAGAAAACCTCCATTCTCATTCTCTGATGCTTTATCCTAGAATGCAAGTGGTCTTGGATTCTCCCAGACTGTGCCAAGTGAGCATCACTTTTGGCAGGTCCTACTGACCTGGAAAGGCTTAGAGGTTAGACTGTCTCTCTTGCCCAAGGACGAGAATCCATTTCAGAATCTCATCACCAGATCCCCCACTGTCTAGTACAGTACCTGCATTCAGTTTTTTGTCCTTCATTTGGAAGAGGATCAATCACATCACAGGGTGAGGTCTCTCGCATGAATTGGAATTAAGTGAGGGAGAGTTGCACAAAGTTGGCTTCACTCTGTCTTCCAGAGTCACGGATGTACAGTGGCAAGACAAAAGTCAGAAGTGCTGGTGATGGCCCAGGTTGCAGTGGCATCTTCACTCTTTGACCAAGCTCTAAGCACTTCACAGAGTCTGCTTCAACCATCTTCATAGACTTTGGAACAAATTGTTCTTATCCACCCATTCCTCCAGGGGAAGTCTTTCCATGCTAGGGATAGCCATTCTTCTAACTCATTGAAAGAGTTGAGGCCTGTCAGTTACCCTCTGGTTTAGCCCATCTGTCAAGGTAGTGTGACTGCTGCACA